GAGGACTCTTTAAAGTAGAGACACTACATACTGATATACACCTGAACATCAGCAGGAGAGGACTCTTTAAAGTAGAGACACTACATACTGATATACACCTGAACATCAGCAGGAGAGGACTCTTTAAAGTAGAGACACTACATACTGATATACACCTGAACATCAGCAGGAGAGGACTCTTTAAAGTAGAGACACTACATACTGATATACACCTGAACATCAGCAGGAGAGCACTCTTTAAAGTAGAGACACTACATACTGATATACACCTGAACATCAGCAGGAGAGGACTCTTTAAAGTAGAGACACTACATACTGATATACACCTGAACATCAGCAGGAGAGGACTCTTTAAAGTAGAGACACTACATACTGATATACACCTGAACATCAGCAGGAGAGGACTCTTTAAAATGTCTTTAGGACTGAACTTGTGTTTGTTTAACATTGAGGCGGCACATTCCAAGAGCGTTGCCTTTAATCTAACCTTGGAGTCTGAAGGATCAGCCAACAGGAAATGTGGACTGCTAAAAAGATTTGCTCAACAGCAGGTAAATAATATTATAAGCACATAAAATCACTCTGTGTGACAGAAACAGGTCTATTCATGTACCACAAGAAAAACTACATTTTATTTAAATATATCTGCACTTAAAAACATGAGCATTTTACAGTGAAGTTAAAGTGAAGACATTGTCAAAAGCTAAACAGTTTCTAACCTTCAAAATCATAATTCATTTCGAGGTAAAAAGTTGTGGATACCAAATTAATTTAAGTAAAATATTTATTGATTATTATGGGTTCTTTTTTGGACCATCTTTCCCAAGGCTTCATAAGAATTTCGTTAAAGGCAAACATTTACACAAAATAGCTTTAAATGAATAATATATAAAGACATGGCATAGTAAATACATTATTGCCCTTTGCACGAAAGCACATGCTGAGAATGAGTGGATATTACTTTGGTTACCATTCTCAATGTGTATGTTGTAATTATCTTGTTGTTTAATCACATTAAAAGCCATTGTGTTTTTCAGAGGTGTGTCTACAGCCATGAGGTAACCTCCCAAATGTACCCCGTTTAATTCCAATATCAGTTTGTATCAAACACTCTGATTGTGTCTCAGTTTAAGATGTGATAAAATGCATTACTGTACCTTAATGTTGGAGTCTGCGGGCATTAGGCTCAGGTGCGTAATGATACTTTGGTTTATTACTTATCAAGATCCTTAAAACCCTGCAGGGTGGAGCTTAGAAAGAGAGACGTTTCAGCACATGAAGCGTTAATTATCAATAATTGCAACTTTAATGGGTTTTATTTACACGTAGCATCCCAACATCAACTCTCATCAACAGAAAATACATTTACACATGTTTTATGGTAGACAGCTAGAGCTAAAACACACAGAGTAGCTTGACACACTACACAAATGATAACATAATTGAACATCTTAAAAGGGTGAGAGACAGGGATGACCATGTGTTTTTTTTTTTGTGCAAAACAATGGCATCAATATCAGGACTAAAGTGCGATCATTTATCAGATTCATTTGTATGAGGAATGTCATGATTTTCCCCCAAATCACACCAAAAGAAAAAAGCATGTCGCCCCCTGGTGGACACATGAGGAAATACATCAATCCCACAGGAAAGCATTTTCTTTAACAGGTTTTGGAGGACAAAATAAAGCTTTGAATACGAGTGCAACTATTCATATCGGTAATCGAAGCTTTAAAAAAAAAATGGCTTCTTAAATTGCGTCATCGATGAAGTTAAAACTGACTGCGTGGAGATGTAAGTGTGTGTTAAAAAAGCTAATTTAGGAACATTCGACAGCGCGATCAGCAGAGAGGCTTCAGGTTTTAGTTGAAAGGATTTAAGCTTTGAGAGTTTTTACTTTCATTTGAATCATTGGATTAAAAACCTGTAACAGTGGGGATTTAATGTTTGTATGGAGGTACATTTGTCTTGATACGGATTGTGTGAACAGATCAATAATCTGAGTGTAAATGTAAACCAAAAACTTCCATAATTGCAAAAAAAGTTTGTAAACTCACGTAAATATTTCAATAAATACACAAAAAAATCCAGAGTGAAATTCTGTAAATACTATAATTAATTTACAATTTAACAAAAAGCATTTGTGAATATGTCTGACCTCAACAACTCTTTGATCAGTTGTACAGATGTTTTTCTAGAAGAATACAGTATACATGAGTAACAAATGCGTCCGGGCAAAAATTACGGCCCCGCCCACTTTTGGGGAAAAACAAAGCTGTCATTTGAACGGTGGTCAATTCACGCCGAAAACCGTGGATTTTTGGATCTTCAAAGAGCCCGATGGCCAGACAGGCAAACAATTACATTAAATCATTGGAAATCCAAGATCGGGCTCGATATATGGTTAAATATAGCAGTTTTGAGAGTAACATCTACGGTACTTTAAGGCCCCGCCCACTTTTGGGGGAAACACCGCTGTCATCTGAATGGCTATCGAGCCTGAAGCCACAGAGCTCTTCTGTTACTGTCCTTTCTTCTTAGAGGAAGTCCAGAAACACGTAACTCTGGATTTGTTTTAATGTTGGAGGTGCAATAAACGACAGCAGCTTGTTGGCATGATAAAAATATTATGTTCCGCCTCGCTCCTGAGAGTAACAGCTGGCGAGATTATAGCCTCGCCTACTGATTTTATTTACTCATATCGAGCCCGATTGTCGTTTCAAATGATTTCATGTAATTGTTTGCCTGTCTGGCCATCGTGACCGGGCTCTTTGAAGATCAGAAAATCCACGGTTTTCAAACATTTCTGATCGGATTGGCAAAAATGTCAGAATGTGAATTGACCGCCATTCAAATGACAGCATTGTTTTCCCCAAAAAGTGGGCGGGGCTTTAATTTTCGCCCAGAAGTGACGTAGGTGTTACTCTCATCTATGAGGTGATACTGCGGCGCTGATCTTGTTTATAAGATATATGAATTACCGTAAACAACAACAACACGTGACGTCGGAGCTCCGTAAAAACATAGCTGCCTCTTCCGTCTGACGCTCTGTTTGATACTCACATTTCAGGAGTAATTATACCATTTTTGACGAACAGAAATATTGTTTTCTGGCACAACATTTTACGGGGAACATCTGCCTCTGGTAGCACGGCTTGGACAAAACCCTAAGTTGTGAATGCAGTTTGAATTTGTGGATTTTAAATCTGTGTTTGTAGATCAGCTTTTACAAACTTAAAATTGTACTTTAAAAAAATATATTTACAAATACTTTTTGTTAATTTGTAAATTGATTTTAGTATTTACAGAATTTTTTTTTTGCCATTTGTTTGAAGCTCGTTTTGCATTTGCACTTTTTGATGAGTTTACAATCCTTTTTGCATTTCTTTAAAAGTGCGTCACACAGGTTATTGATCTGTTCACACACATCATATTCAGACGAGTCTACCTCCATAGTTTAAAGAGTAAGAGATGAAATCTGTCTCTCAGAACACGTCGGTCCACATTCGTAACTCAGAAGCAGTCTTCAGAGGTTAATCTACTTGCAGGAATATAACATGTGTCATTAGACGGGAGAACAGGAAAACACACAAACACACACAGCTCGTTAAGCAAGTGTGTGTGACTTCAATCCTCTGCTTTGTTCCAAAAGCTCTTTTTAAACCCTCTCCGAGTCCATGGCAGTCTGTAAAAAGAAGTCCTCTGCACTAGAAGTCGCTGAGGATGCTGATGTCAGCGAACTCCTGCCGGTATCTGTAGGAGTACAGGGCGAGGAGGAAGGACCACTTGAAGGTGAGGAAGCTCCAGACGCTGGACAGGTAGAGGCTGCGGGGGTCCGTGGGGGCTGGGGGACACAAAACAACACTTATAATCAATCATATAATCATTATATTAACCTGCACACTTATGTAAACATGTTCATACAAATGCACAACTTTCTACTGTGACATCTTGTTTCAATAGTTCCTTTATTTTTGCTGTATTATTAATTTAAATTTATCTTTACCCTGTGGGAATCCTGTTTTTTACTTTTTGCTGCTATTAAAAACGCCTGAATTTCCCCAAGGGGATACAAAAAGTTCCATCTCATCTCATTAAGCTTAGTGTGACAGTTTCAATTCTTAAAAACGCCTTGTTGTGCTTTTTATGGGCGTTTCTCTCCAACACACTCCTTTGTTTACTTCCTGTGACATCACTGTGTATCACTCGCGCTCCTATTGGCTAGCGCTCCAACATGTTGTACGTGATAGGCTAAGGGGCGGGACATCTCTAAGCGCTTGACCAATCACAACAGAGACGGCCAGCAAACCAATCAGAGCAGACTGGAGTATATTCTGAAATTGGCAACCCCTACGCACTGAACGCTGATATATATATTTGAATAGTTACAGTGCCTATGGAACATCGTCAGACCCAGATGTTCACAAGGTATGATGACTTTCTAAAGTTTCTATAAGCACTGTGTAAAAAGAAGAGTGGATTACTTTGTTTCTGAGTGATGGCGAGCGTGAGGAAGGTGATGAAGCCGGCGACCGCCAACATCGAGAAAATCACGCCGACAGCGATGAAGAACTTCAGACCTTTGAGCCACGTGCGCCAGAAATCCTGCAGGTACATGACGTGTGTGACCAGACACCAGAACGCCAAGACACCTGTACACACACACACACACACACACACACACACACACACACACACACACACACACACACACACACACTTTGTCAACATGGGCCAAATGTAGATACTTGAAGTTTTACAGTACTGCATTATATTATAGCATATCATGTGTTTTTATATGTAGAAAAGTAACTAGTGTTAAACAAATAAGGTGCAGGAAAAGTACACTATTCACCTCTGAAATGTAGTGGACAATAACATTTTGAAATCAGGATGTAGTGTGGAGTATTATGAATACTGTGCCATGGTATTTGAGGATCTGAATAATTATTACAACACTGCACCTAACACATAGGCAGGCATGAGTTTTTAAAGCTATAGCATATAATGTAAAGATCCCATAAACAACAGCTACTTTGCACAATTGTAATGTATATCAATATAACCCAATGCCAGTATGTGTCTGGAGTATATTTATATATATTTATGTAGCTTAGTGAGATTGTATAATGTAGAATATTCAATGTATTCAGTATTTTGTGTATTATGTACTCTATTGGGAATGTGTGTATAGTTTTGCAGCTAATGTTAATTGTATTATATTTGTATCTTATTGTGACTTTTAAAGATGTGTATCTCGTGTGTAATGCTTGACAAATACATTTCACAATTTTGGATAATAACATGTCTTTCAATCTATCTAACTAAATATTTAATATGCCAGTAAAACCCGTTAATACGGAGTGTTTAAAGACATGTAAACAGACCTGACAGGCCTCCCATGGCTGCGGTCCACGGCTGTTTGTAGGCGATGTTCCAGACCAGGAAAGCCGAGAGTCCAACCAAGGTCCCGAAAGTAGCATAAGCTAAGCTAATGTAAATCCTTCTAACTCCCATTGTAAAAACACGACTAATGAAAGTAAAAGGACTGAAAGAGGCGTAACAAGTTAAAAACAACAGACTGTGTTTCTACATCAACAGCTTACCGCCATGTTATGTAACAATAATATCATAATAACGAACACATTCATGTATTATAGGTTAGCTGAACGACGCTTAGCTATGTTAGCAAGACAGTTTAGCAGTGAAGATAGTTAGTTTCTGTTTAAAGTGCGACACCAACTGCGACTGTTTAATTTGAAGCTAACAGCAGCTAAAGCTAAGTACCAACAGTGTTTATCTGATGTTCAGCCAAAGATGACTCGCTGTGATCAAGATGATACCCCCCAAAGCGGATCGTCATCTTCGTCTTGACACCACAATATATTTAAGAGGATTACATTTCTACGGTTTTAATTGTTGGTACAAACACTCCACTGTTATATGATAGTGGAAATATAGAATAGTTTGTGGTTGAGGTGTTGAAACATAAAACTTGCTCGGGTTTGTAACGATTTGCCACAAAGTCAGATTAATCTCTTATTCAGTAAACTGTCTTTGACTGAGGAAACCCCCCAACTCGCAAATACAGCGGCCCATAGAGGTGCAAAGAGGAACTACAACTCATAGATTAGCCGAACCACGCTTAGCAATGTTAGGAAGATAGTTTAGCAGCGAAGATAGTCAGTTTCTGTTTAAAGTGCGACACAAACTGCGACATTTGAAGCTAAAAGCAGCTAAAGATAAATACCAACAGTTTTTATGTTCAGCCAAAGATGACCCGCTGTGATCAAGATGATTCCCCCACCACGGACTATCGTCTTCAATTTATACCTCCAAATATAAAAAAGGCTAACATTTATTATATTATAATAGTTGGTAAACATACTCTACTGTTTTATGACAGTCAAAATATACATTATTTTGCTGTAGCAGTGTTGGAAAGTACGATTTGTTATGGTTTGCTTTGAACGATTTGCCACCAAGTCAGTAAAGTGTCTGACTAAGGAAACCCCCAACTCGCAAACACAGCGGCCCCAAGTGGAGCAAAGAGGAACTGCAAGAAGAGGACATTCACCCTCACAGTGAAGCCATTGTAGCTAGATATTTCATACATCTATTAACAAAGATGTTGCTTGAATTAATATGGTAGAGGGTAGATGGAACAGAAAATAATATAGACAGAAATATGTCTTTGGTTTGCATATGCAACATCTGCCATTATAAAAAAGATGTATGTTGAAATTCATCAAATACCACCTCGACAGCACATGCTAAAACCAATTTACATAAAAACAGCGGTTGGCCAATCACAACAGAGCCTGCCAGCTAACCAATCAGAGCAGACTGGGCTCTGGTTTCAGACAGAGGGTGGAAAGAGGTGGTATGAGAAAAATAAAGAGATTTTTGAACATTAAAGCATGGAGACATGTCCCAGTAGAGACACTAAATACTGATATACAGGACTGTCTCAGAAAATTAGAATATTGTGATAAAGTTCTTTATTTTCTGTAATGCAATTAAAAAAACAAAAATGTCATACATTCTGGATTCATTAAAAAAAATAAACAAACAACAAAATGTCCATTAATTTGGGCATGGAGGCAACAGCCTGTGGTAAAGTAGAGACACTACATACTGATATACACCTGAACATCAGCAGGAGAGCACTCTTTAAAGTAGAGACACTACATACTGATATACACCTGAACATCAGCTGAAGAGGACTCTTTAAAGTCGAGACTCTACATACTGATAT